ACCGATCCCGCCCTCTACACACAAATGGTATGTGTTTGTTTTTTTTCCATTTTATTATGTGTATTCCTATTTATGTGTTTAGATTAGTGTTGAATAAAATTTCAATGTGTATATGAATTTATATATTGCTTTATTTGTTTGCATTTTTACCTTGCATTTTTTAGTTTAATCAATTCGTTTTTAGTTTATACTTTGCATTTTTTTGTCAAACAAATTCGTTTTTATTTCACCATTAAATTATATATGAGTTTAATAAATTTTTTTTTAGATTTTGTAAATTTGTTTAGTTTTGTAAATTCATTTTTCTAGTTTAATAAATATGTACATGAGTTTATACTTTGCATTTTTTTGTCAAATAAATTCGTTTTTCTTTCACATTAAATTATATATGAATTTAGTAAATTCGTTTTTTTATGTTTACAAATAATTTTTAGGGATTTTTTTATATAGATTATTAGAAATTGTTAGGGATGAATTTGTAGGAAAATTCGTTTTTAGATTTAATAAATTCGTTTTTAAAGTTTGTAATTGATTTATATACTTTTATACTTTACATATTTTAATTTCTACTTTACATAATTTAATTTAATATTTTTTTTTGAATTTCATCATTAAATTACATCACGCTAAGAGACATTAGCATCGAATTAGCATTGAATTCTGCAGATAATAAAACTCTGTTTTCTTGTAGTGTTTCCCATGGTGTTTCTAATTTGAATTTTTATACTAACAACAAAAAATAATCTTGAGTATTTTTCTCCTTAAATCTTGTAGTTCATATGTATAATTAACCTTTGTGTCAAGCAGTAAAGAGGAAACTCGTAATACATCGCAAAAAGAGCAAAAATGATACAAGTATCACCTTCACGCAATAAGGTGATATGATTTTGTAGGCTGTTTTATGGTAAATTGCTATACTACAAGCTTGACTTAATGATTTTTTTTTGTTGTTAAAGGAGATTGTAGTTGAGAAGTCACTGATCAAGAAATTCTAAAGAGATATTTCATTTGCATAAGAAGCCAAAGCAGCTTTAGTGAGCAAAATCGAAAAGCTTATCAAGCTGATACTCGTCTTTACAAGCATCCGTGACCCGAAGATTTGGTTAAGACACATGATGAAATCGACTAGAAAGTTATGAGTTTGATGAACCAATGCAATATATATAAATCTTTGTCTTACTAATTGAAACAATTTGATATTTTACAAGAAAAAATTGAAATTAATTTCATGTCCACGAGTATTAGTTTGTAACAATGCAATATTCATTTTATACTCAACTAATAATGGTTGGAAACCAAAATACTTAAAAAGATAAGTCATATAATTTTGACTTCAAATTGAAAAACTATGGATTTGATCAATTAAAAATACAGAAGTAATTATCTCTACGTTTATTGGCTTTCAATAAATAATCTCTACGCTTAATCAATACATGCTAGATTATAATCAGTGTGTTATATGAATTTATCAAGATGAATTTTATCTACAAAGAGAACTTGTGTTTTGGTAAGTTTGGCGTATTTGGAGAGATTCGAACAGAAACGTCTTTGCACTAAACAGGTAACGTAGATAGACGATAATAACCTCGTTCATTGTGTGTTGGTTAGTAATCAGTGACGAGGGTATATTTGTAAATCCAATCGAGCTCTCTTCTTCCACTTCCCACCTTCTTCGTTCTTACAGAGACACCAATCTCTCTCCTTGAGATCTTTCTCGATCGTTTCTCTTACAGGCTCGACCAAATCCGTAAGCTTTCGATCATTTTRTCTCTTTTCCCTGCTTAATTCGAATGTTTGTTGACTTTCTAGGGTTCAATTTCGATTTCCCCTAGTTTTAGTTTCGTAGATTCTACTTGAAATTCGAACTCTTTTCTGGTCTTAATCGTTTGAATTGGATGGTCTTACGCTGATGGATACGTTACGGTTTCTTGAGTTTGCGAGTAATTGTATAGTGCTGATCTCAAAAGTGAGGATTTTGGTGTCAAAAAATTTTAATCTTTGTGTCATTTCGGTGGATTAGATTATCAATTATGGTTTTCAATTTTAAATGTGGAAGCTTAGAATCAAGTCCATATCGTATTGATTGCTTTTCCAATCCACAAAGATTATAAATTTCGAATCTTTTTGTCATTTGGTGGATTAAATATGATCAACTATGGTTTTGAATTCTAATGTGAAAGCTTCGATTCAAATCCATATCGTATCGATTGCTTATCCGATAAGTGAGCTCTGATTCTGCATTCATTAGAAATGGATTGAAAGAAATGACAGATAAGAAACTAAGCAGTAGAGAACTCAAGGTCTCTATTAGATTGTTCTCGTTGATGAGATCGAATTTCGCTTCTTATAGATAATCTAKTTCAATGAAACTCTCTTTCTTCTTTTTTGGTTTATGTTGAAGTACGAAGATGGAGAGTGAAAATGGGCGGTACAAGCCCGATTACTACAAAGGGACACAGTCTGTGGTAAGACAAAAACTTGAAGCAGATCAAAAACATTTCTTTCTTTCTAAAATGGTTTTTTACTTTGATTGAAAGCTAATAAGCACAAAACTGTTTGTGCAGTGGACTGTGATGCCTCAGCATCAGATAAAAGAGCAACATAATGCGTTGGTAATGAATAAGAAGATCATGACCATCCTCGCTGAGAGGGATGCAGCGATCAAGGAAAGAAACGAAGCGGTAGCAGCAAGGAAGGAAGCATTMGCTGCTCGGGATGAAGCACTTGAGCAACGGGACAAAGCTCTCTCTGAAAGAGATAATGCTATAATGGAAAGAGAAAGTGCGTTRAATRCTCTTCAGTACCGTGAAAACAATCTAAACTACATTTTGTCGTGTGCAAAGCGTGGTGGTTCCCAAAGTTGTTTAACTGAAGAAAGCCACTTACCAGACCCTTYCCCTATATCAACTATTCCACCCGAAGCAGCCAACAAGAGACCAGCCAAAAGGAAGAAAGAGRGCAAGCAGGGAATACGATCAAAGGGAAAGAAAGTGAGCGAGGATCTGAACCGTCAGGTTGCTTCTCCGGGAAAGAAATGCAGAAAAGATTGGGACAGTAACGATGYCGGTTTAAACCTAGTCACGTTCGATGAGACAACAATGCCAGTGCCCGTGTGCACTTGCACCGGGACTGCTCATCAGTGTTACAAATGGGGAAACGGCGGGTGGCAATCATCTTGCTGCACAACCACTTTGTCTGAGTATCCGCTCCCACAGATGCCAAACAAGCGGCATTCTCGAATGGGCGGTAGGAAAATGAGYGGAAGTGTCTTCTCCAGGTTACTTAGTCGTTTAGCTGGCGAAGGGCACGAGCTTTCYTCTCCCGTTGATCTAAAGGACTATTGGGCTAGACATGGAACAAACCGCTACATCACTATCAAGTAGCCAAGATTTATGAGCGACGAGCTAATATATATATAAATATATGTCAAGTATGTTTCTTTCTTAATCCCTTTTGCTATTTTTCGTTTTAGTTTTACTAATTAGGATCAAAAGTCGAATGAAGAAATGAAGCTTAGGCACTTTAATGTTTTTTATTGTCCATAGTTCCGTTGATGCAAATGTTTAGTATTGTTTTCATGTTTTATGTAATTTTTTTTTTTTTTTGGTGAATCATGATGTTTTATGTAATTAATAAACAAGATAGGTGAATTATTCCCTTTTTTACGATTTATCTCATGTTTTTATTTTAAAGATTTTGAAAATCAATKTTAAATGACAAAATCTTAAACTGGTTCAACAAAGAAAGACGAAGTTTTTTGTTGTAATCTTGTTATATTAGTCATATAGCTTTCACGATTTCTTTAGTCTCTCCTCCTCTCTTCTACAAGAAGGGGGGGAAAAAATGGACAAGCTAAAGACAGTAGCAGCCAGTACTAGGTCAGCACCGCTGCGACCACGACACCCTTTGGTCCATCGCATCAATACAATCGTAAATGTTCCTAACCCGAGAATCGTCAACATCTTTCTCATAAGCAGTTTGGTCACATGTTGTTCAGGCTTAGCTTTTGCCTTGGATTGAGTTTATATGATCTATTCTAGACCTTTTGTACGAAAGTCTATGATAATTGGTTTTTTTTTTTCATTTAACCAAATGTAAATCTGTCAAAATTCGATTCTCGTTCGATATAACCCTCTCGAGTCTCTTATTCCTGGTATTCGCCACGTGTCATAGTGATTCCACCCAATAATGGGGATCATATAACTGGACCCCACATGTAAGTCAATTGTCAATCTAACGGTTGTACTTGAAACCACGTGGAGCGATCGGCTGAACTGTCGCGAAGTTTTAGTTTGGTTTGAAAAGTGAAGAACTGAAGATAAGAGAGATGTAGGGTCCACTAACCTATACATTTGTATTTATATGATATTTAAGTAAAAGCTTAAGCTACA